AGTGGTTTTACTATTTAGAATAAGGACAAGAAATCCAATGAATAAAAGGTATTATATGCTGTCTTAAATCTTGGTTTTGGTCGTATCTAGAATTTTATACTTTCCGTCTTTACTTTTAATATTCCTTAGCTCTAAGCAACGGCCGAAAAACACTTATGAGCAAAGAGCATCTCAATTCGTATATTTCAACTTTTCAAGAGGATAATACTTAAGACATCTCAATTCGTATATTGACACTGTTAGCAGAATTGTCTTGACGAATCTTGACACCGAAAGTTCAAGCTCATGAAACCATAGGACAAGTAGAAGTTCTGAGAACTTCATTTTTTGAATATCAATACATTAAAAATATCTAAAAGGTTTTTGTTCCTAAGTAAAATTTTGGATAAAAGAGGTTATTTATTTTTGTGGGGATAAGTTTATCTAAAAAAGAGTACTTTTTTTCAAAAAAATTCAAAAGTTTTTTTTTCATGAAAAAAGCAGAAATAACTTACAGAGAATCTCTTGTTCCTAGTTCTTCATTGAACAAAACGACATGAAGCTTGTCTTTGAGCTCTACTTTCACATCTAACAAACAAACCTGCAAAATAAAACACAATCAGTCTCAAAACTATTTATCATTCAACTTTATACAATATTTTGAAAGAGAAAGAAGTCGAACATTCCCTGATATGTTTAGTAATCTCACATCTCATGAAAACAAGAAAATAGCTCTAATATTTTTTGATGTAAATGGTTCAATTCTCTTGCATATGTATCCACAGAGACATTGAGACACTTACCGAAGGGAGATAAGAAGAAGGCTGGTGGGTCGAAGAAACAGGAAGAATCATCGAAGGAGTAGAGAGAGAAGAGGCTCTTCTCTTAAGGTAAAAGAGATAGAACAAGAGAAAGAGAATAATAGAGAATAAGATTGGTATTGAGAAAATAAAAGCTTGGTAGAGTTTGAGTTGAATTGCTTGTGGATATAGGTGAGACGGTATTGGTGATTGAGGATCAACCATAACTTTTAAGTTTTCTT